AAAACAATTCCGAGAAACTCTCTCGACAAGCATGATCTCCAGAGCATGTCTAGAAACTTTTATAACAAGCAGGACAAGTTCGAACGGTTTTCTGGGCTGACCCAGAAAAATTAAAAAGTCCCCAGGACGAGTTCAGAGGGTTTCCAGAGCAAGTTTAGTTGACCTTTGAAAAGGGCCAAAGGGGCTCCAAAGAAAATTCCGAAACTCTCTAGACAAGCATGACCTTCAGAACATGACTAGAAACGTTCAGAACAAGCAGGGCAATTTCGAACGGTTTCCTGGACTGACGCAGAGAATCTAAAAAAGTCCACAGCACGAGTTCAGAGAGTTTACAGAACAAGTTTAGTCCATTCGTGGTGAGTAGGATAAGTTCAAACTCTCATGGCGTGTTCAAAGGGTCTCCAGAGCATGTTTAGTACATTCGTGGGGGGTCGAAAGAGTCTTCGAAGCTAAGGCTGACCCAAAAAACTAAAAAAGTCCTCAGGACAAGTTCAGAGTGTTTCCAGAGCAAGTTTAGACGACCTCTGAAAAGGGTCAAAGGGGCTCCAAAAACAATTCCGAGAAACTCTCTCGACAAGCATGATCTCCAGAGCATGTCTAGAAACTTTTATAACAAGCAGGACAAGTTCGAACGGTTTTCTGGGCTGACCCAGAAAAATTAAAAAGTCCCCAGGACGAGTTCAGAGGGTTTCCAGAGCAAGTTTAGATGACCTTTGAAAAGGGCCAAAGGGGCTCCAAAGAAAATTCCGAAACTCGCTCGACAAGCGTGACCTTCAGAACATGACTAGAAACGTTCAGAACAAGCAGGGCAAGTTCGAACGGTTTCCTGGACTGACCCAGAGAATCTAAAAAAAGTCCACAGCACGAGTTCAGAGAGTTTACAGAACAAGTTTAGTCCATTCGTGGTGAGTAGGATAAGTTCAAACTCTCATGGCATGTTCAAAGGGTCTCCAGAGCAAGTTTAGTACATTCGTGGGGAGTCGAAAGAGTCTTCGAACCTAAGGCTGACCCAAAAGAACTAAAAAAGTCTTCAGGACGAGTTCAGAGGGTTTCCAGAGCAAGTTTAGACGACCTCTGAAAAGGGTCAAAGGGGCTCCAAAAACAATTCCGAGAAACTCTCTCGACAAGCATGATCTCCAGAGCATGTCTAGAAACTTTCATAACAAGCAGGAAAAGTTCGAACGGTTTTCTGGGCTGACCCAGAAAAACTAAAAAAGTCCCCAGGACGAGTCAGCGGGTTTCCAGAGCATGTTTAAATGACCTTTGAAAAGTGCCAAAGGGGCTCCAAAGAAAATTCCGAAACTCTCTAGACAAGCATGACCTCCAGAGCATGACTAGAAACGTTCAGAACAAGCAGGGCAAGTTCGAACGGTTTCCTGGACTAACCCAGAGAATCTACAAAGGTCCTCAGAACGAGTTTAGAGGGTTTACATAGCAAGTTTAGTACATCCATGGTGAGTAGGACAAGTTCAAACTGTCAGGGCGCGTTCAAAGGAGCTCCAGAGCAAGTTTAGTACATTCGTGGGGAATCGAAAGTGTCTTCGAACCTCCAGACAAAAGGTCTTCAGAGCAAGTTCAGAGGATTTCTAGGGCAAGTCCAGAAGGTTCTGTAAACGAGTCTACAACAAGGTTTGTCCAGAGGATATTTAAGCCAAGTTCATAGCGTCTCTTGTGGCAACTTCACAAGGGCCAACGAGGCTCAAAAGAAAGTTCAGAGACTCTCTAGACAAGCATGATCTCCAGAGCATGTCTAGAATCGTTCAGAACAAGCAGGCCAAGTTAGAACGGTTTTCTGGACTAACCCATGACCTCCAGAGATATTTTGAGATAGCTGCATGATATTCAACGAAGTATCGAGTACTTCGAGGACGATCCGATAACTTCAGAACATTCCAATTAACTTAAGGAAATTTTCAGCGACCTACAAGAAGTTCCATGGATTTATGGGATATTCCGAGAATTCTATGATTGATCCGAAAACTTCAGACATATTTTCTGAAACATTGAACAAATTTAGAGAACTTCAGGTAAACATAGGATATTTCAGGGATGTCCAGATAAGTTCAGGGAAAATTTGTGATTTATAAAGATAAGTTTGTCTTTTGAGTCAGCTTCAGAGGCCCTAAGAGCTTTAGATTTTTTTTTTGATCGATCTTATGTGCATAGGCGTTTTGGGTAGAGTATAGGTTAACAACTCAAGAGTTCTAATTGGCCAACAACTCATTAATCAGATGCACATTTCTCTTGGAGCAAAACCACAGGGCTCATATAACCTGTTATAAGGCGTCGTGGATTTTTCCTATAAATGTATGCATTTTTTGATCTCATAAATCAACTACAGAAATCTTATCAGTTCATAACTAAACCACAGATGCCTTACGGATAACTCCGAAGGACTTGTGAATCAGCTTCAGAGGCCTTAGGGGTCAGGTGTGACAGGTCTTAACTTCAGAAGACCTATGGAATCAGCCTAGATGCATTACGAATCAACCATAAATCATGCTTCAACTCATGAGGTCTCCTGACCTGCAAGCCATACGGACTGGTTAAAAATACCTAACACACGTCTTTTGGGATAAATCCAGTAGACCTAGGGTGCATACGTGAAGTATTATGGGTCTTGGGATCTTGCGAGATAAGTCCAATGCGGAGATCATGGGTTTTACTGGGAACGCTAGAGAGAGAGATAAGGACCGTTTTCTTAAGGGGTTACGCCTACCTGCAAGACCGAAAAAAAGCGAAAGTTTGGATTTTTTTTCTCGAAAACGACGCAACATATTGAAAATCGGTTTTCTGCCGTTTATTGAACACACATTAAATGGTACATTTATCAGTCGATGCTGTAAAAACGAGGTCCTGGTGCCCCGCACGGCTGCTCCCCGTGGACGATGTTCCAAAAAACGCTTTTTGCGGTACCAACTGCGGTTTGTGATGTAATCATCTGAAATAAAAAAAAACCATGCCAAATCGTTAAGCATGTGTTAAACTAGTCCTTGATCTTCCGGTTTTTTTTTTAATTTTTTGGACAAAATGGCGGCCTTGCAAAGTTGAAGTGCCGATTTTTGATCCTTAAAATTTGTCTTTGATCGGCTGTAAAAAATCGAAATTAAATGATAGACGAAATCCGAACGATCGTGGACTGCACAAAATAGTACTGAACAGAAATCAAAACGAATCGGACGAATCGAATGTATACATTTCGAGAAATTTTTGGCACCGGTTTTGAAAATATGATTCCGAGATAATCGCGTTTAAAGTTTCAAGTTGGGTTTAGTCCACTATAAGTGAATATTTTTGTACGTCGCATAACTTTCACAATTTTCATCGGATCAACTTGATCTTTTGAGGAAATATTCTTGATTTTATATACTTTCGATTAGGACAATAAAAAAATCGATTTTTTGAAAGTTTGCAGGTAGGCGTAACCCCTTAAGAAACAGCACTTGGTAAACTTTTGGAGTTATTTCGTTAACTGTTAATTTGTTGGGCTCCGACTGTTTGGCATAGCAATATAGACTCTAATGTATTCTTGAATTGACTCAATACCATGTCGAGTAAATCCCAACCGACTCTGTAAGGAGTCTGAACTTTATAATTCTTCGGACATTAACCTTTATGATCTGCTGCTAAACTACCCATAATCGTATATCAGTCCCATCTTTGCTTGATTTCCTATCCATATGGGATTGATATGCGATTATGGGCAGTAAACTTCAAGTGTCTAATGGTGCTATCATATGCACCTAACCTGTACAAATTGTGGAAACCCACAAACTAGACTTGTTATTTTATTAAATTTGTAGCCACTCTTTGCCAATATTTGAACTAAAAAATTGGGAGAAGTTACAAACGAGCTTTAGTGCTCTTAACAGTCCAAGACGCTAATTTTACACGACCGATTAAACCAACTCAAATTTGAGTTTCCTTCACTTAAATTCACGAAAACCGAGGGTACTAGACTTAGGTAGACTAAGTAAAATTTTCTTCGATTTTACAATTATTTTAGAGCAGATTTTTGAGAAAAAGCGAGGACATTTTTTTCTCAGTCTATGGAGTGACCTACATTTTTGCTATTTTAAGTGAAAAACAACTCAAGTTTGAGTCGATCTCATCGGCCCTGTATATTCTGAAAATATTCAACTGACGAGCCCAGTTCATAACTTCAGATCGACAAAAATTTGACTACTAAACAATGTATTGTAAATAGCAAAATAGGTTCCTAAACTAATCCTTCTGAAGATTTCAGAATCGACCTTGACGTCAACTGTTTGGCAACCGTATAGATTACCCTACTCATCCCTCACACCGAGGACAGCAGCAGCAGCGCTTCTACCATGTTTCAAACGAGAGGGTGGTGAGCGCAAGTGAGAGTTTGGCTTCCCGTTTCTTGGCTTTGCTTACGTCCTTATGACGACGTCGTTGTCGCACAGAGAGATAGAGAGAATAACAACCCATCAACGTCGTCGTCGTCGCCGTCTTCGTTGTTAATGATGAACCAACAACGTCTCCGTATTTTCCGGTGGTGGAAATGTCGTGTGCACGAGTAGAAGAAGAAGCAGCAGCAGCAGAATAGCGTCATCAAACATACACAACGAGCTCGATTCTTCTTCTCTTGAGAAGTGCTCCAGCAGGATGAAGAAAAAAGAAACCTCTCGGAAGAAGATTTGCTGCCGTTTTATTCCTGGAGCTCCACTTTCGGTTTGCCTTTGAAGTTTGGCTTATGGCACTATTTATTTATTCATTTAGCGCGTGGAGAACGACCCGCAACCCCGTCTGGGTGCGGTTGAATCATCGTCATGGCCGTCCTAACAATCGATAAATCCGATAGCAAGGGCGTTACGTGACTTCAGAGAGAAGATGGTACGTACGCTGGAAGGTAATCACTTTCCGTCAACACTGGCAAATAGCAATTGGTTTCCCGACAGCCAGCTCCGTCCAATAGCGATGGGTTATCCTTATTACATGACTTGATCGCAAAAAGGTAGGAGTTATCCACTTACCTTCCCAGAATCTCGAGCAGTTCACCGACTCCGTTGAAGTGCTCCGTTTCGTATATAAAACGTAGAAATATGTTATTTATCTGCTTACGAATAAAAGCACGTAATCCTAAAAATTTGCCATATATACGATGCAATACGGTTTTCAAAAAATCACGCTCTCTCGGATCCTCGGAATCGAATAGTTCCAATAGCTACGGGAATGAGGGAAAAGAAAGAAACGGGAAATTGTCAGTACTGCACGGCCGAAGGAGGCGATTTTTTGTTGATACAGACCTGCAGCACAAACTTCTGGTCGATCACCTTCTTGCCGAAGGTCGCCTGGAAGTCGGCCGATTCTAGGAAGCGTAGGAATACCTCGTACACCAGCTGCAGATGGGGCCAGGATGCCTCGAGCGTCGGGTCGTCCTCCTCCGGGTCAAAGTCCGGGTTTTCACTAGGCGGGAGCGTTCGAAATAGGTTCACAGATATCTGGAAGGAGAAGAATGCGAGAGGGTTAGTGAATGCATCTCTAAAAAAATACAATTTGATGAAGCTCCATTTCGCTGTCCCGGGAGCTGGGAAATTGTATTGAAGGCCTCAGAAAACGCTTAAGAATGTCTCAAAAGCTTGAACAATGGATTTGAAGGAAATTTTCTCAAGTTACGGAATTTTTATCTAGTCCTGGATTTTTCAAACCAGAATCCGATTTGAAAAAAAAGACAAGATTAAGAACTACGAAAATGTTGATATTTCGGGAACATCGAGTTCACCAAAGTCCTGACAATTTGATGGAGTCCAATTCGACATTCGGATCTATGAAAAAAGCTCGAATGGACAAAAGGTCGAACTGAACTTTAGAGGGACAAAAGGTCGATTGGAAAAAAGTCGAAATGGACAAAATTAAAAAAAAAACCAACATTAAAATTGACAAAATAGTGTCAAGAATATTTTCGCTCAGAGTTTTAAAGAACTTAAAAAATACTATGCAAATGCTTCCAATAAACTGTTCATGATTTAGAGAACGAACATATTTTAGAGGAAGGCAGTAATACGCAACTATTTGCTATCTTAATTTTTCAAAGAACTGCCAGTTTATCTATTTCGACCTTTTTTTTCCATTTCGAACTTTTATCCATTCGACCTTTCGTCTATTTCAACCTTCTGTCCATTTTCGCCTTTTGTCCACTTCGACCTTTTGTTCATTCGACATTTGATCCACTCAACATTTTGTCCATTCGACCTTTTAAACATTTAACTTTCTGTCATTCGACCTCTTGTCCCTTCGACCTTATGTCCTACAACCCTTCAGGACAATCTCCAGAGCACGAGCATAGAAGACTTATTAGCAAGTACAAAGGACATCCAGGACAATTCCAAAAAGCGTAGGGCAGCTTCAGGGGTAGTCTCCAAGAGTCTTATAGTCGAGTTCAAAGGGGTCTCCAAAGCAAGTTTAGATGGGTTGTAGGACAAAAGGTCGAATGGACAAAAGGTCGAATGAACCAATGCCGAATTGAATAAAGTGGACAAATGTTCGAAATGGACAAAAGGTGGAATAAACAAAAGGTCGAATGCACAAAAGGTCGAATGGACAAAAATAAACTGGTAAAATTGTTGGAGGATAAAATGCATGCATAACTCTCAAATATTTTCCCTTGCTTTAAATCATGAGCAGTTCTTTGGAAAATTAAGATGACAAATAGTTACTGTGTGTGTCAGTGCAAGTTCTTTTAAACTCTGAGCGAAAATTTTCTAAACAATATTTCGAAGGGGCTAAAGGGACATCAAAGCATATTTAGAACAAGGCACAACTCCCATAGACAATAACCATAAGAAATACTTAACAACCTATTCTGCATATCATCTCAACTTTTATGTGTTATGGTTACATAATTTCGGGTATCTTTCACTCGTTTATAAGGGAATTGATTCTGCGTGGTAAGTTCGGAGGATCTCAAAGGCATGTCTAGCAAATTTTATAACGCTCAGGACGCATTCAAAAGGTCTCCAGAGCAAGTTTAGTACATCCGTTGGAAGTCGAAAGAGTCTTGGAGTTGTGGAACTGCCAAAGAAGTTATGAATTAGAGTCGTTGATGGGCAGTTCTATGAACTTCAAAATGGCTTGAGTATTTCAGAAAAATCTTGAGGACTTCAGTGAAACTATAGAACTATATTAATTATTCTTTTTTGACTCGAAGAAAATTGCGGGAGCTTAAAAAAGTTCCAGAAATATCTGAAAAAAAAACTTCGAAAACTTTACATAAGTGCAGAGATCTTCAGAAACATTTCAAGAACTGTATCAGTAGTCCATGGAACTTAAGGAAAGATCCGAGAACTTTAGGAACATCCATGAACATCAGCCAAATGCGGTAGCATTTGACAGAAGCTTGGTAAGTTTCAAAAATAGGGAAATTTCAGGAAGAGTTCAGTTCTATTACTCTTAGAAAAGTAGCGGGTAATCTCAAGAAGTTCAGAGTTGGTTGGAAATACTATCACATGAAGCTTTAGTGTGATAATTTATTAGCTAGAGAATGATTTTAGAAGAGGGTAGGTAGATAGTTCCATTAGAGTTCGGCAGTATGAAAATTGAATAGAAGTTGAAAATGAGCGAAAGGCCATTAATGTGACAGTACAAAGTCGAACGCACACTCTTTGCCTAACGCGTACGATGTACGCGGATATTTGAAGTACAGTCAAGATTCATATGGTACGGTTAATAGGGATCGCATAATAGGAACCAACATTAATTCATGAAACTGATCCTAAATCACTCATAGACGTCTTATCAGAAATAATTCGGAGTTGAACCCGGGAAAATGAACCCTGGGGACAACGGGATTGCTCACCGGAAGATCCGGAACATCCGCAAAAGTGGTCAATTCATGAAACTGATCCTGTAGCTCCGTGTTTTTTTTTTCTAAACCACTCATAGACATTTTATCAGGATAAATTCGGAGCTATGACCGGAAAAGAACCCTGGGGACCACGGGATGGTTCACTGGAAGATCCGGAACATGCGTAAAAGTGGTCAATTCATGAAACTGATCCTAGAGCTCCGTGTTTTTTTCGAAACTGCTCATAGACGTTTTTCAGCATAAATTCGCAATTGTGACTGGAATATGGACGCTGTGGACATTTGGGTGGTTCACTAGAAGATCCGGAACATTCGTTAAAGTGGTCAATTCATGAAACTGATCCTAGAGCTTAAAGTTTTTTTGTTTCAAAACCACCCATTGAAATCCTATCAATATTAACTCGGAGTTGTGATCGAAAATTTATCCTTGGGTCCACGAAATGACCCTCAGAGGATCAAAATCATCCCTTAAAGTGGTAAATTCATAACACTGATCCTAGAGCTCTTCTGATTTTCCGAAATCACTCATAGATGTCTCATTAGAATAAAATGGGAGTTTGTGACCGGCCAATGGACCCTTTGGACAATGAGATGGTTCACCAGGCAGATCCAGAACATCCATAAAAAATTTCAGTTCTTGAAACTGAGCTTAGAGGTCCACTTTTTTCAAAATCATTCATTGCCGTGTTATCAGAATGAATTTGATGTTATGACCAGAAAATTGACCCTAGGGACCAGTGCACAATGGTCCCAAAGCCGCATTTAGGAAAACAACAATGTTTGCGCTCAAACCGTCAGTTTTAGGTATATAGTGTCCTCGGGAAAGTTTCTTCATATTTTTTGACCGATATTTTTATGTTAGTGAAATTAGGGTGGTCCATAAAATTGGTGTATTAAAAATACAAACTTTTTTTTATTATTTGAGAGAGACCAATACAGTGTCTTAAAAAGTTGTAGAACAATCAATTTAAAGCAACTTTGTTCAAGACACCCAACTTCTATCTCTTACGGTTCATGAGTTATGATTATTAAAAAAAAAAAAACAGGTTAGGGTGGTCCCCAGAAAATCGGCTTTCTTTAAATATTTTTTTACGTTTATTATCGTAAAAAAATAGTTTTAGATAGTTACGCATATTTTTGCTGCAGCAACTAAGTTGATATCTCCTTTATTTGAAAATTTATGGTTAGTTTGACTTTTTTTAAATAAAATCAAATACTTTAAACAAAAAAGCTCGCTGAGTTTTTTCACCAAAAATTAAGAAAAACGAGGATTCAAAAATTTGAAATTCAGTTTGCTCCATTTAGAGATTTAGATAAAATCTCCATTTACTTTCTAATCAAAAAATATAGTAACCTGGATGCTTTAGCAAAAATAAGCCCTATCAAAAGTTAAGCAGAACAAAGTTTTTACGAGAAATGAACATATGAAAAGATATCTGTTTTTAGGAGCCACCCTAAGCTGCTTTGAAAAAAAAAATCATAACTCATGAACCATAAGAGATGGAATTTAGGTGTATTGAGCAAAGTTGCTTTGAATTGATTGTTCTACAACTTTTTAGAACCTTGCATTGGTCTATCTCAAATAATAATAAAAAAAACGTTTGGATTTTCAATTCACCAGTTTTATGGACCACCCTATTTTCACTCACATAAAAAGATCGGCCAAAAAATTATTGAAACTTTCCCCAAGACACTATATACCTAAAACTGACAGTTTGGGCGCAGACATTTTTGTCTTGCTAAGTACGGCTTTGGGACCATTGTGCAGTGGATGGTCTTCTGGTCTTATGAAACTGATCCAAGTACTCCGTATTTTTTTCGAAGTATGAGTGGTTTCGAAAAACAACGAGGAGCTCTAGGATCAGCTTAATAAATTGACCACTTTTACGGATGTTCCGGATTTTTTAGTAGACCATTCCGTGGTCATCAGTATAAATTTTCTGGTCACAACTCCGAATTTATTGTGATAAGACGTCTAACGGGTGGCAACTAAAATTTTGGAATGTTTTCGAGACCTCTATGCTCAACAACAAACGAGCTCAGAGAGAAATAAGAGTGTGTATGTGTTAGCTCTCTCTCCTCTTTCTGCTAGTATTTTCTGTTTTGTTTATGCTTGCTCAGTTTTGCTCAAAATGCCGTCGAAACAAGAAGTATTTCGCGAGCTGCGAACTGCACAGAAATCTCGGCAAAAAGTATACGGTACAACATTTTAAAAGCGAAAATGTTGCGGCTTCGACTGTTTACCATATCCTAAGATCCCCAACAACTGCTCGCAAGCAAGGTAGTGGAAGACCAGCCAAAATTATGGACGCAAAAATTTCCGAGAAAGGCATTTCTTAGCCATGGTTCAAGCCCTCTGGTTTGGCAATCAATCAATATGTGTACCAGAACGAATGTTTGAAGAAAATTTTGATCCCGTTTCTACAAAAACATCATGCTGTGTTTTGGCCGGATAAAGCGTCATCGCATTACGCCAAAAAAACACAATCGTTCCTGAATACCCATTCGATCCCATGTGTACCCAAAAACCACAACCCGACAAATCTGCCTCAGTGTCGCCCAATCGAAGATTTCTTCGGGGTTTTGAGCTCCTTGGTGTACAAAAATAACTGGAGAGCCACGAATTGCAAACAGTTGATTGGTAGAATCAAGAGATGCATTCGCAAAGTTGACATGAAGGCCGTACAACGCTCCTGTTCCAACATCAAACGGAAGCTTCGCCGAACATCCGATTACGGACCGTTTTCAAATGTTCACTAATTTTTTTTCAACAATGGACAATGTATCTTTAATTTCAATAAATCAGATCTTCTTTAAGTATGTTTGTCTTTTTTTGACAGCTTGCGAAAGAAATTCCAAAATTTTAGTTGCCACCCGTTATGAGTGGTTTTTAAAAGAAAACCACGGAGCTCTATGATCAGTTTCATGATTTGACCACTTTTACGGATGTTCCGGATCTACCGGTGGACCATCCCGTAGTCTCCAGAGTCCATGTTCCGAATAAAACTTCAAATTCATTCTGATAAGATGTCAATGAGGGGTTTCTAAAAAAACACGGAGCTCTAGGATCAGTTTCATGAATTGACCACTTTTACGGATGTTCCGGATCTTCCACAGGACCAGACTTGTCTTCTACCGGAAACTGACTCATCCCAAAAGATGGCCAACTATCTGTTTAACAACTTTTCCAAAGACATCAGGTATATCTTAAAACTGCCGTACAATCAATGTTTGGTCCCAATTAGCTCAAATCCCATATGGTACGTGTATTCGTTAATGCCGGAACGACCGTACTATAGGAATCCGGCAAGAACGAATCCGCACTATAGGAATCTTGACTGTATGCCTTCAAATCTACAGGCAAAAAGTGTGCGTTTGCCTTTATTGCGTGCGGCTGTGGAATAGTTCTAGCGACGTTTCATCACTACCTAAAGCCCCACGTTGCCGAAAGCATTTCAGATGTTCAGAGAACTTCCGAAATGTTAAGAAAATCATTGAGGTCTTCACATATGTTCAGAAGTTCAAGGAAGTTTTAAAATTTTTAGGACAGTTCAATTCAATACAGGCGAAGACAACATATCAAGAAAACTGGCAACTCTTCCATTTTCTCAAACGACCGGTATGAGACAGGCACAATCGTGTCATCTGCCGCTCACAGGTAAATGCTCCGAACGAATTGGTTAGCAATGGTTTCATCCGCAGAAGAAAGGTTTGTGTATTTCTAGACTAACATTTGAAAAGGGCGTAATTCCAAAATGACCAAATCTGGAAAATCGCTTCCGAATTTGGATGACATAACAATTAATTTTTCGTTTTTATGGCTTTCTCAGTCTAGGGTAATTCAAACAGTTAGTTGTGTTAGGGCAATGCACAACTAACTGTTTGAATTACCCTAGACTGAGAAAGCCATAAAAACAAAATCTCCATACAACCAGTCGAACAACCAAAGCAATCACTAACAATTAATCTTATTTCGCGACTTTCCATTTTCTGGATGATTTTATAAGCTTGACATATAGTTAATAGTGTAATCTATCATCATGCATAACTAAAAACTAAAAAAAAAGCTTTCTTTGTCGTGAAATTGAGAAGAAAACATCATACGCCCTGATAATTCCTTACATGTTGTTTCCCCCTAGATCTTCCACCCTTTGAACTGCCAACACTGGTGATACGCCGTGGAAGCACACACTCGGGATTTTTTGGTTGTCTCTTCCGCCTTGGCTCTTCGTTCGCAAATTTTGTGAGAGTGGAATTACGCCCGGAGATTTTTTGTTGGTCTTCTTTTTGTTCGTTGTTTACACGTGAAATATCAATCGGATGCATTTTTCAAACGAATCGGCCGTGACTAGATACTACAGAATCAGTACGTTTGGCATATTAAAACAATATAATTCGTAGTTCTGGTGCAAGGCGTAACTATCAGATGCATCATAGAGTTGAAAGTTGGAAAAACGCCATGTCAGAAGAAACGTGTTTGATACTTTTTCGTGTTTATCGAGTAGTTTGTGAACTGTTCTCCCTATATGTGGCAAAATATGGTTTGTTTACATTTTGGCTCTTCCGCCCCTTTCAAATGTTAGTCTAGATTTGCTCATTTTTCTATGCGTTTCTTCCACCTTCGCTCGAGCGCAGCGCTACTGTGTATGTCGCTCGGATTCAGGCAAAGTTACCTGTCTTCTTGATATGTTGTCTTCGATACAGGGCATTACAACAAGCTTCTTGATAAATGCAAAAACTTTAGAGAAGCACTGGCGTTAACATTTGAGAAATGACATAAATGTTAATCTCGATTACTTTTTCGAAGGGACGCATCAGCTTTTGAAAACAATGTATTTGACCGTCAATTCGGCGTAACTGGTAGGTCGCCCACGCATGCTAAGACTACCATCAGATAGGGGAAATTTCCCCTACCTGATAGTAGTGTTAGTATGCGGGAGCGAGCTACCAGTTACGCCAAACTGACGATCAAATGCATTGATTACAAAAGCTGATACGTCCCTTCGAAAAAGTAATCGAGAATTGATTTTTTCTTTCTTAGCAGAAGGTTCCACATTCAAAGTGAGTAAAACTTCTACTTTCCAAGCAAATAGCAACAAACGAAATAGTAGGACTCTGAGACCGTACTCACATTCCTCGTTTCTGACTCAATTTCATCGAAACTTTCCGCAGAATCACCGTCGCCGTGGTCGTCCATTATGCAACTGTAGAACTATTTACACATTCACCTTACCGATAGCAATTTAACAGAGACACAGAATCGAACTGATGCAACCGGGGAAAGCAGTCTTGAGCAGACGCCGAACGAAGAACAAGGAAAACAAAGTTCCTCCCGCTAGCCAAGCACAAAGAAACTGCCAAACAAAAGAATCCGTCAGCTAGAGCTGATCACGCGGAGGGAAAAACAGTTTCCCCTCCCCTCCCCTCCCCTCACCACCCGAAAACCTACCATTTTGATAATCTCTGGATAGACGTTCTCCGTCAGCACACCGCGTCCGTGTGTGATGTATGCCGACAGGTCGTTCAGCGCCGCCCGCTTGATTTCCTTGCCCTTGAGATCCGACAGCGGGTCCATGAAGTCGAACGAGACGCAACATTGTCGCAGCTTCCGGATGAATAGTTCTTCCTGCTCTAAACTGGAACAGTCCACTGCGGGGAAAGAAAATGAGAAAATACGGAAATCGTTAGTCATCGAAGTTTTCACGGTTGAAATATTCTAGAATATAACGTATGCAAAATTGCACTCGACTTTCGTCATTAATCAAACCAATCGACGGCGGTACAAGGAATGTGTAAACATAGCGGGAAAGGTTTACGGTTGTCTTTCTTCGAAATCGCTCAATTCTAATGCAATGCGGACAGTTGCAATCAATTTCACACCTCCGTGGCCTGCTGGGAGGTGTAAAAGTTGAAACTGTGCAGTGGGAAGGGTTTGGTCAGGAAGTTTACCTTCCATTCTATTGCTGTTAAAAGTAATCACGGTGAGTTTATTTGAATTGCATTAAAAGAAAAAAAACGGCATTCCTCAAACCTTCACCATTTCGCAGTGGTCCAAGAATGCAATCTAGTGGAACAAAATTAATATCTCCAAAACAAAAATAGGCTAGTATCTTTGGCAAAGTTCCAGGTTTGGTTGGAATTAGTTAGTTAAAAACATAAAAACTGATTTTTTAGACTTTTAATCTAATTGAATAAATATCTTGAAAACTAAGGCCGCTACAATTTTGACGTCTTCGAGTTTCATATTTTCGACTAATAAACAAGTTTGTTGAAGACACCAAACCTCCGGAATGAATATACGTTTTGAATAGCCGTTTAGTACAAGTTTAGTACAATTATTTTTTTACCAAAATATGGAGATTTTTATATCAGATTTAGGTGGAAGGATATACCTTTGAGCCTGAAATTGAAGCATTAGACTTTAATTTTCTCCTACAAATTTGTTCCTTACAGTTAGGCCCTCATTTTTGACAATGACAGGGCTGGTAGTGATCAATGCTGTCAAAAATAGTGATTTTAGTGATCATGTTGAATAAATAAGTGACCAAATAGTGACTTATAGTTGAAAAAAGTGACCTAAGGGAAGAAAATTTGCAATTTTAATATTGCTAGTTATTTTCATTCACACATTGAACTTTATAGATCCAGAATGGATTAATCTTCAGTAACAAATAAATAAATTTATAAATTCTGAACTGAAAAGTAATAATACTTCATTTTCAAGAATCTGGAGTCAAATTCCTTGCACAGTTTTAAGGCTCATGGAATTTTATTACAATTTCTAAGGACCTCATTCCACGGGAGTTCTGGGATAAAAATCTATGAGAAAAACATCAACGGCAATCTGCTTTCATGGTACCGTAAAACGGGGTAACATTGATAGTTTTTTTTTTAAGTATATTCTAAATCACTTTTACAGCAATGAATGTTTTAAAAATTTTATATTTTTAAAACAAGTACTGAGGATCCAAGAGTTAATTCGTCAGTAATTTGTTTAAAAAATTAAAGCATTTGCTTTTTTTTTTGTTCTGTGACCGTACTTCAGTTTTTTGATTTGGGGTTACTTTGATAATGCTCGATGAATGTAGAAAAAAATGGGTGAAACTCAAACAATTTAGTTCTTTAAATATGAAACTTTGAATGAGTATATAATCAGAAAACATCATAAGTAATAAGAATACAACATTGAATTTGTGATGGCTATATCGGAGATACATTTCATAAATGATGGTTTGAGTGCTTTTTCAAACATGCGAAAAACACGAAAATTGTTTTTTTAAAGGGTGATACGGTCAAAATTTGGTCAAGGGAAAACGCGTGTAAATCGGTGAAATCGTTTATTTAAAAAATCAAATTAAATTTCTTTTTCAAGTTCAATTAGTATAAAATTCAGGAAAAATATTCAGTTAGGCTTCCGCTTTTCCAAATCCGAATTGCCGGGCCTTACGCTTGACCCCTGCCATCAGATTTTGTACAGCCACCTTGTCCACCTTCTTCGCCGCAGAAAGCCAGTTTGCCTTGAACTGCTGCTCGCCTTTAGCAGTTTTTCTGGTCTTCTTTAGGTTCCGCTTGACAATAGCCCAGTATTTCTCAATTGGGCGGAGCTCTGGCGTGTTGGGAGGGTTCTTGTCCTTGGGAACCACCTGCACGTTGTTGGCGGCGTACCACTCCATGGCCTTTTTACCGTAATGGCAAGATGCCAAATCCGGCCGAAACAGTACGGAACAACCGTGTTTCTTCAGGAAAGGCAGCAGACGTTTATTCAAACACTCTTTCACGTAAATTTCTTGGTTGACAGTCCCGGAAGCTATGAAAATGCTGCTTTTCAAGCCACAGGTACAGATGGCTTGCCAAACCAGATATTTCTTTGCGAACTTTGACAGTTTCATGTGCTTGAAAACATCTGCTACCTTTCCCCTTCCTTTTGCCGTATAAAACTCCTGTCCCGGAAGCTGCTTGTAGTCGGCTTTGACGTAGGTTTCGTCGTCCATTACCACGCAGTCAAACTTCGTCAGCATCGTCGTGTACAGCCTCCGGGATCGCGCTTTGGCCGTCGTATTTTGTTTATCATCGCGATTTGGAGTCACTACCTTCTTGTAAGTCGATAGTCCGGCTCGTTTTTTGGCTCGATGCACGGTTGTAGACGATACACCCAGCTTATTTGCGGCATCTCGGAGAGAGAGGTTAGGGTTTCGCTTGAAACTACCGGCAACTCTCTTTGTCGTCTCAGCGGCTTCCGGTTTTCGATTTCCCCCCGATCCAGACTTCCTGGCTGTCGACAAACGTTCCCCAAACACTTTAATTACATTTGTAACGGTTGATTTGGAAACTTTTAGCGATTTTGCCAACTTTGCGTGCGAGTAGCTCGGATTTTCGCGATGCGCGAGCAAAATTTTGATACGCTGCTCTTCTTGCTTGGACGGCATTTTGACAACTGAAGAGTGAATTCCAAAATCAAAATAGGAGCAACATTCTACACACACACACCTTCAAAATGAGGGGTGTTCAGGTTTTTTAAATGCAAAATTGAAAGAAATACGTCAAGTTGATATTGACCAAATTTTGACCGCATCACCCTTTAATATGTGTGTAAAATATGTAACACATACTATATAAAAATTATATACGATATCAACGGAAATACCATAAGCTACAATATGGAACCAATGTTTCTAATTTGGAAAAAGCGCAGCGAGTAAATTTAATCTTTAGATTATACTATCAAAGATACCCCGTTTTACGGTACTTCTGATGAATTTTAGGCTTCATGTGAAGCCTAAGCCTAAGATAGTAACCTCCAAGCGAATTTTCATGAGAAATATCCGTTCAATATGGAATGGACTATTCTGAGCTCTTCATAACTACTTGAAAGTTCCTAAAATATTCCTGAATTTAATTAAACTGCCTTGAAGTTCTTTTGTAGTTTGAGAAACTAGCCTGATTCTCGCAATACTTCTCATCAAATTTTTTTAACTTCTCTAAACTTTTTCGGACTTCCTAAAGTTTCCACAATTTTCCTAACGATCATGAATCGTTTTTAAAGTGTTAACAATTCACTGAATTTCTCGAAACTTCTCTTAAGTGTTTGCAGTTGTGATGAAGCTTGTTGGACTACCATGAATTTAATTGAACTGTTCTAAAAATGTTTAAGCTTGCGTGAACTTTTGAACTTATGTGAAAACCTCAATAATTTTCATAACATCTCTAAAGTTCTCTGAAAATCTGGGAACTTCTTGAAATTTCCCGCTTATTTAGTGAAACCAATTGATCCCCTGAAATTCCCTTTTTTTTTGAACTTTACTGAACTTATTTGAGATGCTCCCGAAATGTCCATAAAAGTTCCTGACGTTCTCTGATCTTCCCTTAAGTTCCATAGACTTTTATGAAGTTCTCGAAATGTTTCTGAAGATCTCTGTACTTCTGTGAAGTTTTCGAAAATATTCTGAAATTTCAGGAACTTCTTTAGGCTTCCGCTAAGCAGCGAAATAATTAATGTAGTTCTATGATTTTCTCTGAAGTTCTCAAGATTTGTCTGAAGTTTAAATTATCGAAACTAATTCATAACTTCTTCAATAGTCTAGAGTTTCCTGATGTTTTTAAAACTGCCCAAAATCTCTAGACTGCCCTGCCTTAATATTTTTAAAAGAACCCACCATTTTACTGGAATTGATTTGATTGCCTACAATTTTCCTTAAGTTTTATAAAGTTTATAAACGCTCACGGAACTTTGCCTTAAACCACTTACTTTCCCGGCAAGAAGTTTTCTATGCTTACCTTAATTTCTCTAAATTGATCAAATGTTCCGGTAAATTTTCTGATATATATTTATAATTCCCTGAAGCTTTTCGGATCATAGAATTCTCGAAATATCCTATAATTCCAAGGAACTCCTTGTAAGTCGCTGCAAATTTTTCTTATGTTAATGGGCTTTTCCTGATGTTATCTAATCGTCCTCGAAGTACTCGGAACTTCACTGAATATAATGAAACAATCAAAAATATCTAAATTTCTTAGAAGTTCTCTGGAATTTCTTGAAAATATCGGTGCTTGCTAAAAGTTCTCGCATTTTTTTTAAATTAATGGTACTTCGTTGATGTTCTGTTTTTCAACTTAGCTAAATTTTAGAATTTTCTATAGATCTTGAAATTTCCATGATAACACCCTTAAAATACTCTCACATTTTCCGGATGTTCATATAATTTTTATTGCGTTCCAGAAATTTTCTCTGAGCAAAACGAAGTTTTCGGAAATTCCGGTTTCTGCTATTTCCTTGAAATTTTTGAACTGCCCTTCGATTCTCTGATCTGTCTTCATGTTCTCGGAACTTCCCCAAAACTCTCAGCTCTAATGAAGATCTCCGTTCTACTTTTAAATAAATCGAATTCTAGTAAACACCTTCTGTGGATTTCTGTGAAGTTCCTGAAATATTTCTGAAGTTTTCATAAATTTTCTGAAGGTCTCTATACTGAATCTCTCGGAACATCTGAAGGGTTCTCAATTTTATTTCAGTACCTCATGGAACTATCCTGAATTTGTCTAAACTCACGCTTATATATTTTTAAACCAATTCAATAGTCTGGGCTAAAGTTTCGGGGACTACCCCTGAAGATCTCCGAAATTCCCCAAAAGATCTCTAGATCTAGCTTTTC